ACCCCATTTGGGATTATGAGAAGTCTCTCACCCCAAACTGTGAAAAATCACTGGCACCTGAGTCAACTGAACAAACTATAAAAGGCATGTGGAAATACTATTTTACCTGCGCTTGTGTTGCAGATGGATGCACTTACACGCATTACAGCTCTGCTTACACACCTATCAGATTCAGTACAAATTTGGACGTCTGCTGACTGAGCTGAATGAAACCCACCTCAGCTAAAATCAATAAAACATATTGAGGAAAAAAACAAAACACCTAGGTTTTTGAGCATCTTCTTCTCCAGTTTCTGGTCCTTGCGGGCGTCTGCCTCTTTGACGGCTGTGACCTCCTCTGTGTCCTCTGGCTCAGCGGGAATCTCGGCAGCCTGGTAGGTGCTAATGATGTCCTCCAGCTGCAGGCCCAGGTCCTCTGTCAGGTCAATGTGCCGACCCTTGGCTGGCGACGCCTCGGGACCGGTGGGTGCAGGGCTGCTCTCCTGACAAGTCTCCATTATTCTGAGCTAGTACTGAGAGGGAAAGTTGGTTTCTGTAAAGGACCTTTAGATAACAAGGATAACATTGTTTTTCTAAAGGATAACAGACTGACTTTCAAATATTTATTTTAGTGGAGCCTGAGTTTCACCAGCCAGTGTCTGTTAAGTTAATGTTGGCTCCAAAGTCATTTCTAGAGTGTCTTATTTTTCCTCTTTTGGAGGCAAGTTTAGTGAAACAAAATCTGTTTAACTTAGATTGGATTTCCTAATTTCAGGCTGTATATACAGCTGACATTTTGACTTGTCATAGTAGCAAAAGCACAGTTGTCACTACTTTATGACAACAATAACAAAGGTCTCTTTAAGTGTCCCAGTAAGTCATGGCAGTGGGACTGTGAGCATGAACAAAACAGGGACCCTGAAACTGAAGCAGATAAATGGAATTTAGCCATCAATCATTTTTATCATTTACACCTCTGTCCTTCCTACTGCGGCCATGAAGAAGACCCATGCAGCTAGACTGATCAATCAGCCGGGCTGATATATTGACCAATATTAATTAATTTTCTAGACCAGAACTGCTACAATGTTAGTTGATGCATCGATTAGTCAAAAGTACAGAAAATCTTTTGTGATCAAGCAAAGATGCAAAAAACATTTGCTGGTTCCAGCTTCTCAAATGTTACGGTTTATTATTTTCTCTTTGTGACATTTGTGACATATGACAGGACTGAATATCTTTGTTTTGGACTATTCAACAGACAAACAAAGCATTTGAAGACGTCACGTTTTATGACATTTTTTAAGACCAAATGATTAATTGAGAATCGGTTATGGAAATATTTGTCAGCTACAGCAGAGACAGATACAGAAATGCCAAGACTAAGAGAGTTCTGACAAGTTGACTTTCAGCTGTAAAATATTGAGCTCTGTTTGTATCATCACAATTCATGGGAGAAAAAAAAAGGAATGGATACTACTTAAAAAATGTTTCTTGTTAATAATGGAAGAGGTTTGGTAAAATAAAAAAAGAGTCCATTTGGTTTCACAGTTTAAACTCCAAATCAAGCATGGTGCTTTTGAGCAAGGTACTAAAAACTGCTGAATACTCGTGTGCAGTATTTTCTTAACAACATGTCATGCTTCACTCAAAAACAGGCAAAATTAGGAAAATGTTGCCTTTTTTGGCAAAAACGAGATCCAACACCGGCCAATTAAAATGATTAGAGCTTATTAGTATCCCGCAGTGATTGAAATTAAGTGATATATAATGGCTTAGCTTGTGTCAGTCTAGTGTTGTACAGGCTCATAGCCAGAGCCTGTTTACTTGCATAAAATTAGTGCAGCCTTCACACTGCCTGTGCTTTCACAAGCAGAGCACATGGCACCTGTTCCAGGCCCCACAGGCTATTTTAAGAACTTCTTAATATGGGCAAGTTATTTATTTATTTCTACTCCACTCTTATTGATGTCAATGTCAGTAGTTGTTTGTACAAAAGCTGCATTTTCCAACTATAAAAAACATCAATGTGACATAAGCAACCCCATCTATATTCAATATTTTAAAAGGAGGCAGATATCCGAATGGAAATTCAACTAAAAATAAATGACTTGGAAAAGGCAGCATTGGTTTCTTCGGTGTCCAAGGAAACAACAGTTGTAGTGCACAAAGATAGAAATTAAGCAGTTTAGTTTTGAAGTTATCTTTTCTTGAACAAAATCAATCTCTTTCCATTCTGTTAGCAAATGACACAAGCAAGTCTCCTTTCATGTTCAACAAACCTTGTGAGCTTCAGAAAGCCATCGAATTCAGACAAACAGTTATAAGTACCTTTGTAAGAATAGTAAGAGGTTTGGAAACCATTTAAAGCACAGGACGTAAAGTTATTAAAGTGTAAATGTCCCAGAAGAAGCAGGGTAACGAGCAAACAGGGTTCTTACCAGGACCAAGGGCCAGTGGGGGAAAAGGAAGAGTGTTGAGGGGCTCGGCCAGGCTGCCACCACAGATACAACAGCTGTGATACGACCACCTCAAAATAAATCAGAGGAGCACAGCTCACTCTGAGCAGAGAGAGGGCATGTCTCTGTCCAGGCCACTCCACTTACAACTCATGGACCTCATCGGATTGTTATCTTTCCAGGAATTTACCCCCGACTGTGACATATAGTAGTTGTGTGTATACTCAGTGTGTTTGAATACAATTAAAATGCTTCATCGTTTAAAGGTTTTTCTGTGAAGATCTTGATCAGACATTTTATGTGATCCCTCTGCTGCTTTAAACCAACGCTGAACTGATTTTATTTTAAGCTGGGATGCTGTTAAAAGCCATATAATTATTCTAACAAATGGCCCTGACAGGCCTAGTCACTGAGCAGGAGAGAAAAAAATGAACCATTTCTCTGATTGGCCAGAATTAGAACAGACCTCCTCTCCAACCCTGAGAAGAGCGTCGGTGCCGGTATAATGCGCTCTAAGATCAGTCATTTCCTCACTTAATACATGCTTAACACATCCAGTATTTAGGTACAGTACAGTACACTGCCTGTGCCACCGGTACACAGTGGAGAAGATGTAGGTTTGAATTTAACGCAGTAAAATACAACCTGAAAACGGTTGAATATTATCCACAAGGTGAGAACTATTTTTGGAAGCATTCATTTATTTTTCTTGTTCCATGTTATGACTGCAGTAATCATTTTTCACCAGGTGATGTCACTGGTAGGTTTCACTCTAGATTTTTTATTTTTTTTTCCACACCCCCTCCTCAAGATAAAATGTGAATGATTTCATCTGAAAACTCTTCTTCGTGTGCTCTAATTTAAACGGTCGTGAACTGTGCAGGAGGGAAAGGTATGGGAGCCAGTAGAACGTGAAATAAGCTGCAACACACATCCTTGGGTTAGAAGTATATTCTTTTAAAACAATTTTGAATTTAATCTGAAAAAGTAGAGCACCAAACAATAAATTCCCCATAGCATAAAAGAGGCACTCCATCCTGACTAACCAGTTTTGATGCAGATAGCTAAACAACAAATTGGCTACCGAGGTTTTTCCCTCAAAAAATCTTAGCTGAGAGGTAAAATGATTTGTCCTCCGTGTGTTTTACAGGGAATTTCATAGTCATGAGAGGCACAATGCAGTTCAGTAAATATGAATACACAATAAAAACAAAACACAAACACTATCTGAATACATATGTATGCAAAAGCAAATAAAAGGCTTCACTTTCCCTTCACATTTTATGAGCATTCTGCACCATTATCACGACAAATAAAATTACATAACCATGAAATCAAAGCTACATACATCTTCAGAAAGGGAAACACAAAATTAAAGCAGTGCACCTTTTTAAAAAAATTTTTTATGTAAACATGAGTGAACTTTTCTGATTATGAAATCCATTCTCAAACTGGTAACATAACCACTTGAAGATGTGAATACACTTTTTCTTTTAAAGATGAGACACGGTGTTAGCGATCAACACTGTGCTATTTTCGCTCTCATTAAACTTCTGATATATGTCAACTGCAGACATTTTACCTCTTAAAGAGATATAAACAATCCACATAAAAAGTTTTCAGAATTCAACACTGCAAAAATAGTTTAAATCATAAAAATACACGTATATATACAGAGAAGAAGTAATGCATTTGGTGAATGATTACTTACATTTTGAGCTGAAGCACAGTAATAGTCAACCAACTCACGCTGTTAACATCATTACTTTAGTATTACTTACAGTAAGTGATAACGATTTTATCCAGTTATACTTGAAACGCAAGAAAACATACTATTGACTGATCATCATAGCCCCTTGAATTTTGTGTGCAACATGTTTCACACAATGAGAAATGTGAAAAAACAACTGGAATGTTTCAAAACCACAAGAGAACATAACACGTTTTACTCCCCCAAATTTCCACTGACCGAGTCAGTTAAACATCAAAGATGAAAGGATGAAAGTGCATCGTCAAAACTCATAAAATGCTTATGGTCATCTGTATAAGAGAGAAAAAAGCTGTCTGTTTTAATCAAAGCAAAGACATGAGATCAAAAGCAATGCCAACGTGGCTCACTGCATAACTGCATCACTGCTGCATAAGTACAGATATACCATATAAATAGTAGTCAAATATTTACCAGTATCAATAAGTGCTTACGTTCTAATATATAAATACATCTTACAGTATTCATAATTACATATTAACTTCCTCTATTTTTGTGCAATAGCAAATCCCATGCATTTTTACCAAGATAAAAATCACAACATTAAGAAAAATGCAACATAAGAAATATTTTTTAAGATTGTTTCACATAAATCAAGCTGCATCCATCTGTCAGCAGAACTGACAGTACAAAGAAAGAAAAAGCTCTCCTTCGAGCGAGCTCTCCGACAGCGCCGACTGAATAAAGAGGACCTCGACATTTTTCCTTATTCAACAACCTTCTGATAAAGAAATGATGAAAAGCAAAAAAAAAAAAGGCACAGACCCTTGCCGCTTGATTAGAAGCACCAAACTGCACAAGAAGCGTCTACTTAAAATTTGGTCAGACTGTTTCATAATACACATACTTTTCCCCTTATAAATAGTCTTTATTTACTGCACTACTGCATCACACCTTGATATGATTACATTAAACAACAGTCTATTTTCAAAGTACACATACAGTAAAATACACTGTTTGTATGCATCTAAGAAGGAGTATATGTTAAGGACATTTGTACAGAATCCATAAATATAATTTATGTGCAATTGTACGCAAACTACTATGTCAAACAAAGGCATATTAGCATAATATCTTTCCATATTGCACCTGCACCCAATAATGATTCTCCACCTTGCAAAACATCCTGCTGCTCATCCAATCATTTCAAAGAGTCTCTGAAGAGAAGAGCACACCAGACAGGACGGCTTTCTTCTTCAATGTGAAGGTTTGACCTCCACTCAGATTTAAAAGGAGCTGTCTGGGGTATGTGCAAGACCAGAGGAAGTGTTATTATATTGCCTCTAATTGGATAAAGATGAGGTTATGTGCCTAAAGGGCTGAGGACGACAAGGTTGCAGGTGTAGCAGGGGGGGTGTCTGTTCCTGGATCAGATCATGGATACAGAAAAGAGGGTCTTAATGAGGGTCTTCTGTGGTGATCTTCAGCGAGGCGATGGCTTTCAAGCAGGTTTGCACGTTTTCCTCCTGTCTGCTGTCCCCGACGCCGGGAATGAGGCTTTTCTCCTGAGCGGCCTGATGGGTGGACAGCTGGTTCTGGCCTCTGATGTCCTCTCCTCCCGTCTCAAGCCCGTGGACAGATCCCTCTCTGCTGCTGCAACGCTGGCCCTCGCTGCTCTGGGGGCTCGGCGCCGAGGAGGGGGTGACATCAGTGCTGGGGGAAGGCGGAGAGTGCAACATCTGGAGCCCTCCAACAGGAACAACGGGGAGCAAACTGTGGGCCTGCTGCTGGGAGTGCAGTGGGAGGTGGCTGAGGATGTTCTGGTGATGAGAACTGGCAGAACCAGGCAGAGTAGAAGCCAAGCAGCTCCTTTGATCCTGAAATGACATATTGGCAGCGTTACGAGCAGTTTCAGCAGTGCCAAGATAATTTCTCATGTGAAAATATATTACAGTTGGAACAAATGCAGAAATGTGAGAAATGCAGCATTATTAAGTAAAACAAATGTAAAGCACGCAGAAAATGTATACTTCTTCCACAGATGAATAATCCCTTAAATTTGTCATTTCAATTAAAGAAAATAAAATCAAGTGCCAGATTTTTAGCCAAATTAGCGCTGAGGTTCTACGGATCCCAAGTTTTTTACTAACACAAAAACAGTCAAATAAACAAACAAGACTAAGGCAGAGGTGTAGTTTCACCTGGTGCAGACTGCATGATGCTACGTACCATTTCCATTTCAAATGCTCCTTGTTGTTGAGCCATCTCCATCTTTGCTTGGTGTCTGGTTTTGTCACCGCTGCCTTTGTGTTGGTGCGAGCCTCTACGTGGTGAAACGGCTCTCAGCACAACCCTCTGCCGGCCCCTGACTGACGATTCTCGCTTTCCGACCAGCTCTGATCCAGGAGACATTGGTCGCTCCATCGAGACCGGGGAGAGGTGCTGAATGGGTGTGAAGCCGGGTGAGCCAGGCCTCAGCGGGGAGGTATCCCACCTGGGAGAGGAGCGACCTCGCGGGGAGAGCTCTCGCCGTGGGGATGGGTAACGCAGACGTGAAGGGGAAGGCTCCCTGATGGGAGACTCCCAGCCAGGCGAGAGCAGACAAGAGGAGTAAGGGTCAAACAGGAAGCTGGCCTGGTCTGGGGACAGCATGGTCAAAGAGTCTTCATCCACAGACTTCTCTCTCTGGTCGGTGGTGAGGACAGGTCGATGGTCGGAGCCTGTCCGCCTGCCAGAGGGCTGTTGGCGGACGTCGGTGCCAGGCAGAGAGGTGAGGGAGCAGCCATGGATAGCAGCGGTGGCTGTAACTGACAGAGAAGTAACTCCACACGCCTGAGGACTTGTACTTCTTGAACGCAACTTTGGAGTGGAGTCGCCTTCATATTCATCATCCTCATCGTCATCTTCGTCAATTTCATCAGCCTCTTCGTCCATGCCGTCAGACTCCTCTGCGTCTGAGAACTGATGTTTGGTTGTGACCGTCACTTCTGTCTTAGACTCTTGCTGGATGTCGTCAACTTTAAAGACAAAGGCATCAGTTGGATTAATTTCAGTTTAATTCACTTGTGCAAGAATATTTCATATGCCAGTATCTTACCATGTTCCTGTATCTCCGTCTCATCCATTGTCACTGACACTCCCAGTTCAAGACATTTCTTCATGTGCGCCTTTGACTTCATATGTTTAGTCAGGTTTCCTGTGGAAGGATAAAACAAATAATAGGTTAGGCCTGTGATATTTGGTAATTACTAACTTTCACTTAAAACTGCCTGGATTTTTAAAAGAAGATTTGTATAGACAGATTTTCATCAGAGTTTTATGTCCCCACACGACCAAAAGTAGTTTTTTATACCACAAGAGGACACTGGCCAGTTGTATGAAAACCAGCTCCAGCTCCCTCCCGCAGTAGACGGTGAAAAGAGAAATGAGGAGACAGTGCAACAGAGTTGCTGATTTTGCATGATATTGTAGTATCTCTAAAGAGCAGCACAGACTTGAGTTTTTTGCTGCAGCTGCAAATATTATTTTTAAATTCAGATTTTTCACACATTTTTGCATCACTCATTTATTTTAGCAGATTTTCACTCATTAATACTAAAAATAAAAGATTTCTTTTATAAAAACTGAAAATAATTAGTCTTTTTGATCATCTCTACAGTCATTTATCTTCAAGCCTATAGACATACCCACCTTTAGTTTTAAAAGCAAAGTTGCAGACCCTGCAGATGTATGGTCGCACGTCTGTATGGGTCCGAATGTGTTTTTTCAGCATGCTTGGCTTCTTACAACGAATACCACACTCCTCACAAATGTATTTCCCCCGGCCCCGACCTCTGACATACACATAGTCTTCATTGGACTTGTACCTGAAAAGTGGATACAATCTAAACTTTAATAAAGAAATACAAAATAAAACCGGTTTGAAAAGGTAAAAACAGCAAAACCTTTTAGATAGTGCAGGCTCTAACACCCTAATATAGCTGCTGTATTTGCTGTCAGCAGAAATGACAAGTGTTATGATAACTAATATCTTGACTGACCCTCCCTCGAAGATCTTAATACGTGTTGGCACTGTTTGCGCTGTGGAAGCCTCCCTCTCTTTCCACTCCTCCTTGGCAGTTTTCACTCTGCAGCCAATATCTTTCACCTTCTTCCCGTAGGTGATGTCCACCTCTTTGGGCTCTGGTTTCCTCTGCAGCTGAATCAGATGAACAAACATTTTGTTAACATCCATTTTAAGTGGACACAGTATTGACAACGTAACATGATGCTTTCAATATTGTATGTCACACATGGTGTTACACAGCATGTTTTGCAAACATGCATTACGCTGCTGCAGGAGAAAACCCCAGTACAACTAGCTCCCACTTTGATTTGATTCTTGAATTTGATTTTCAACATTTTTATGAAAGCTAGGCTATGCATTATTTTTATGTCAGTTTACCCATTTCATCAGCCTAACAGTGTCCCATCCCTAGTATGTGATGTTTACCTGAATAAAGTTTTGGTGTTTTGTGGTGAACAGTAAATGCAGCATTCAAGTTATGAATCAAAGCATTAATGTTACAACCAGCAGTGGACAAATGCTCTTTCCAAACTGTAGAGTTTGTGAACTTCTGGGTAATAAGGTCCTTCAATATCCAATGGTTATCACTTACAGACACTAAGGTGGAACAATGCCCAGTGAGGCTTGACTGTAAGTATTTGGTTTATAAATAGATATCCTTTATAGGCAATGATGAAAATAGCAAGAGGAATTGAATATGTTGTAAGTAGTGGCTTTATTCGTAAAGTCCAGAGCTAATTGTTTCTTTATGTCTATGGCAGTAATATGCTTTACAAACAATGCAGAGATGGGATCATTTTCTCACCTGTTCCATGGTCTGCCTCCACAGGATGAGGGATGAAACCAGTTTCCCCGTGCCAGGCTGACACATGGCTGCCACAGTGTATATAACCTTGTCTCCCTTCTGTTTGGACCGCAGCAGAGCCAGAGCAGCACTCGTGCTCAGCTCCAGAGGGTTCGGGTTGTGGGAACTCACACACCAGGTGGTGTACACGGATGATAAAGGGGAGCTGCTGTGAGAGCAGCTCGGTTTGGTGTAGTTGAGGTAACACCAGCTCACACCTGTCGTCGTGCGTAGACTTGGAAACTGAGATAACAGTCTTGAATGCTCGGTGTCTGAGATCAGGATGTCTTGACTGGTAACCAGCTGTGCCACCATATCCATCTGCACTCGTTTCTCCATGCCAACTTCTTTCATTTCTCTGACTGATATCATGGAGTAGGGAGGCAAGCTGGTTTCCAGAGAGCTACTTTCCATGGCTGACTCGACGGCGTGGTCAGTGGCCTCTGTCACTTTTTGCTGAAGTGTGATAAATGTACTCCTACATGAGTCAGGTATGGATGCACCCTGCATCTCTGACCTTTGCCCCTTCTCTTCGCTCAAATTACATTTTCCCAACTCCACAGCACTCAGCTCCTCTACAATCTGTCCAAACATTCTTTCCTCTTTCACGCGTTTTTGCTGCTTGACCTCCATGAAAAGGTCTAGGCTGCTGGCAGGGGATAGCATCCGTTTGTTTGCACCACCACTGGAGGCGTTAGTGGTTGAGATAGTTCTAGAAGTCAAAGAAAGAGGGATGCCCGTCTTGAGCTTAGCTGATGACAAATCAAGGGCTTCAACATTGAGGCTGTGTGTTGAGGGTGGTCTGGTATAAGCTAATGCATTATGAGAATCAAGATTTCCAGACAAACGTGTTTGATGTTGAGTGGTGGCTGTAGTGGAGCTAACACTGTCATACTGATTGTCAAAAATCTGTGATACTGAGGTGTATGTGATACTGCCATAGGATGGCACATGAGTCTGTATTCTTACAGGAACTAACAGGCTTGGATGCGAAAGCTGGGGAAATGTATTCCCAGTGGAAAATATTGGCAAGGTCTGCGGCAGAACAGCAAGTGCTGTGAATGGAGGGGAGGTGCTGCTGAGGTACTGCGGAAACACTTGTGATTGGACTTGTGTTACTTCAGTGTCCATATTCAATGACTCCTGACGCACCAAGTTTCCCCTCCTTCTCTCCTTCACAGCGGAGTGACCACCGCTGATGTCCACGTGTCTAACTTTGGATGTTGGAGAAAGACTGCCATAGTCAAATGATATGCTGCGTACCTCTGGGAACTCCTTGCGCAAGTTACACGGCGCCTGCTCCGAGGAGGAGCGTCTCATTTCATGTTGTTGACGCTGGTTGAGCACAGAGAGGGAGTGCCCACTCCCTGGCACAGCTAAGAGCTCTAGTGGTTTGCCAAATTCATCCTGCCTGGCTGGAGAGACCGACTTCAAGCTCTCTTCCCTGTCAAAGGAGAAGGTGGAGCTATAAGATAAGTTGCTGTCTTGGCTCGGGCTACGAGAGAGACTGGTGCAGGCAGACTCAAAACTAGATTCGCCAGAGGAGTGCTCGATTTCAGCTAAGCGTAGCCGTTTCTTCTTTGGTGGGAGTTTTTCTGGAGGGAATTGTGCTAAAGTTTCACTCCTTTGAGGCCACTGAAACTCCTCCACGTGCTTCTCTGGCTCCTTCACCTGCACCTCTGGAGCTTTTTCTGGACTGTCAGGCTCTACTGTGACCCTAATCTCTGGGACTTGTATGTTCGGCTGCCGCACAAGTTTGGGGCCCATTTGAAATGATTGCCGTAGTCTACTATCACTCCTCTCCATCTCATATAATTCACTTGCCTCCATAGCCTGAAATGAAGAAATACCTTCCTGTCTCTGCCCATGATACTTATAGGATTCTGACTGTTCAGAGTGAGGCCTGTTTATCGAGTTTGTATGCTGAATAACTGAGATTACATTCCCTAAGGTTTTACGACCAGAAATTTCAGGGCTCATTGATATGTCCATATCACACCTGTCCATCTGTGTTAGCATACTTGAAGAATGTCCTTTCCCTAAAGCAATAATGCCCAATGCAGCTTGTTTTGAGTCGTAGTCCTTGCTTGAATCAAACATTTCTTCACACTGTTCATGAAGGTCCTCATATCGACTGGGCAAATCCTCCTCTTCCCTCTTCTCTTTCCGACGCTTCCTTGTTGCCAATTCCATTGCATGTCTCTGATGGCTCATATTAGACGGCATAGAGGGGTAATTTTCCATTTCCAGTCCTGAGGGTGAAATGCCACACTCACTCATCTTTCCGTGGTTGTCAGTATCTCCATGCCCATCATGTGCGGAGAGTTCGAAAGCAGCTTGCCGCCTGAGTCTCCTCATGCCCCCTGTGCTTGCTCTCTCATCAAACGAGTGGCTGCCCCTGAGGGCTTGAGGCATAGTCAGACACACTGCTGAGGATGTTGGCATTGAGTTGCTTCTGATCAGAGGCCCCATATCGGAGCCGGCATCTAACTGGGGTTCTTTGACCTCCTCCCTCGTGAAAGACTTTGTGTTTATTTTGATGGATTCAACAGTGTCTTTCTCCTGGGTGAAAACACGGGAAACACCCTTTTCCGAGCGTTTCCCAGCATATTCGCTTGAGTCTGTGCTGCAGGCCACAAAAGCTGTCGTCTGTTTAGGGCTTGGTCTGTAACACTTCCCAAACATAATTTCTTGATAGGACTTTGCGTTGGTGTTTGGAGGACCGGTCTGGTGCTCGGCACTCTCGGAGCGCGAGAAGTAGCCGGAGTCCGTGCTGCCCTTGCTAGACTGACTTGGAAGGGACAAATTGTGGTCAGAGTCGCTGCTTCTTTTTTCAGACAAACGAAGTGCAAGCCTCTGTTTGATCGTGCAAGATTGAATTGCACGGCTAGCCTCAGCAGCGGCAGGAGGTGCATTGATTTCTTGGGGTTGGGATGAACCATCCTGAGCTGACATCGACGTGGCTCCCTTTTTCTGAGCAATGAGATTTAGTACTTTTACAGCAGTGTTATCTGATCCCTCCACTGGAGAGTCCAGCAGCAGCAGCGGGTCGTTAAGAGTGTCCTCGTCCGTGTCCGTGCTTTGCTCAGCATCAGAGAATAACTCTCCTTCCCCTTCAAAAGACCCCTGGTCTGTATTGGCATTGTAAGAACCAAGTTCTGAGAATGGCACTGTTCCAGCTTTGACTGAGTGAGCGTGAGACTTTCTGTGTTTGTATAAATTACTTTTGGTTTTGAAGGAGAATCCACAGGGGACACATGGATAGGGCCGTTCCCCGGTGTGTGAGCGAATATGTTTCTTAAGCACGCTGGGTTTGGCACATGCCCTTCCACAGTAATCACAAACATACTTCCCAGGCTTTTGTGGTTTCTGTTCCACCTTACACACAGTCTCTGACAGCTGATCCATCCCTGAATGTTGTTGGACCTCAGGTGAACTGGGGGACTTCCTGTGAGATGCAGGTCCCGGGGACTGTGCAGAAACTAAGTGACCTACAGCTTTCTGTCTGCCAATGGGAAAATGTTTTGTGGACTGCAGTGGATATGAAGACATCTCGTACTCTGGATGGCTTGTGGACTGGGTTTGGGAGTGCTGATCTTCTAACTGCAGTGATTTCCCTGAGTCAGACATTTCTTTGAAACCACATGTGTCTCTGCTCTGACCTTCTTGCAGTTGTTGGTGCCACCCCTTGCCTTCCAGTTCGACCGATGGACTCCTCCTAGTCTGTGCAGCCTCTGATGTGCATTTTTTCTGTGCAACATTTCTGTCCTGACACTCTGTGGAGCTTTTCACCCCTGCAGTAGTTTCAAGTGACTCCATGAATCCAATGTCACTTTCTTTGGGATCGATTTTCAAGGACAGTATCTGTTATGTAACTGTAGTAATATTAACATACATGTGAATTGATTGCAGGGAAGGGTCATCTGAAAGAAATGAGACAGAATTGAAAATTAGACAGAGCAAATGTGGATAGATGAACTGCTATAACATACACTGGGAGCAGATAAAGATGAAAAATGAAGAAACATGAGAAAATCCTCAACAATCGGTTGTTGAATGCAAAAAAATCAGAGTGCAAATCCACTCCTTGAGAGTGAGAACTATTCAAGGCTGTTTCCCAAAAGTCCTCCTAATAAAATTGGAGTATAAAATTCATAATGAGCTCCATCACAGCAGGAGTGGAAAAAAATCTGTCTCTTTACCAGCCTCTAAAACGCCAAGGGTACCTCGTGTCAACCCTGGCAGTTACCCCAATTTTGCTGAAGCCCTGTGGACGTGCCTAGACGTGTGTGTGTGTGTGTGTGTGTGTGTGTGTGTGTGTGTGTGTGTGTGTGTGTGTGTGTGTGTGTGTGTGTGTAGGTGTTTATGATACATGCCAATACTGTAGTATGTGTGTTATGAATGGCTGTACATGTGTATGTGTTTATGTTGAGTGTTGTGGTGTGTGTGATCTGAGTGGAAATCTCATAGGAATCATCATCACAGCTCCATCTCCTTTCTGCACTTTTTAGCAATCTCAAAATCAACTCCTTTGTCTTAATGTGAAACATTAGTTTTATTAGAATATTTACAATTTTAAGCACCAATATCTGAATATGAGTTAATCAATAATAAGCCTTTTTGAGAGGGATTGTATTGAGCATAACCTGTATTGATATATTTTGAAAACTTTGCATTTGTAGGTGTTTGCTACAGGTGTTTGGCATACGCTTAGCTGTGAAAAATAGATAACAAAATATAACACCCATGTACTTCTTTCCATTCTACTATATAGCCCAGATTTAACTTTCCACTTTCTTTCACCTGTTCACTTCCTGACAACATTTATTTACATTTATGTGTTTATTTGTATAGAGACACGCCTCTAGCACGAACCACATACCACAGCATTTATAGCCAAAGCTAAATTGTAACACCTGTCCCTAGATAGGCCTTTCACAGTATTGGAAAAAAAAAATCTAAACTTCCCTGGAGGTCAGCATGCCAAGAAAATGAAAATGATCTGCCCACATAAAATATTTGAAACTAAACAGGATAGAAGACATAATAAAGTATTAAAAAATAGTATGGTATGTGTGTCAATGCATGCCAGCACACATAGTTGGGTACTGAAGTGTGACATGTCTACCTGTCCTTCTTCCCATGTGATATCTATTAAAAATACCAAAATATAAATTAAATATTCAATATATTACACTATGTCAGCAACTGTTGTATCCTGTGCCGGTATCTCATCGTAACAAGTTCATGTTCTTCGTCTCTCGTGGGATTCAAACCCTTTAACCTGTCTGAGGTACCAGGGTCATCGTCTCCACACTGAGCTGCACAGGACAACATACTGTACTGTCCATAAACACGCCAGACTCCAACAAGATCATCATCATCCCCGTGGTTAAAGTGAATTGGTTTTTGCCACTACACTTTCATTCCATACCAGGGGGATGGGTCTCTGAGGGCACGTCGTTTCCATCTTCTCAGTATCAAATGCTGTGTCCTCCCTAACGAGGTTATGTAAGATTATCTGGTTCAAACCCTCTGAGTTCCCCTTAATTAGGACATCCTCCGACTCGCACTCTCTTTCTCTCACTCCCTCTCTTTCTTTGTTAGAACGCCACACACTCCTCTGGCATAAACCAGAGGATATGAATCCAAGGTGACTCGAGATGCCGAGAGATGCTTGAAAGCAGCTGTAAGGATGATAATCTCCCCTTTGTATTTTTCTTTTTTTTTTTTTTTTTTTTTTTTTTTTTTTTATGAGTGCCCATTCCCTCTTTTGGCTCTTTATGGTTCAGTAGCTCTGCATTCAGGCAGATTTGAGGGCTTCTTCCAGAGCAGGATGGAGAAAAAAAAAAAATAACGAAGGCATACTGTATGAATGATGGCGAGGGGGCTGCCTCAGATTGGAATGATCCATGTTTCAGCGGGGAGGTTTACAGAGGTAAACTAAGTGGGGTGCCTGGGGGTAACAACATTCAGAGGCCTGGTAGGGAGCTCCCTTTCAAGGTCGGTCTGACCTCATTGCTTAGTTTCCATCCTCTGTGAGCCATGAGAGGAGGGAAGGGGAATATGGGTGCAGAGTGACAGCGAGATAAGACCCTCAGAAACAATGCATACCTTTGAACTAAGCACGATAGAGAGGGAACAGAGCCGATATATTCAGAGTCTCATTGACAAGTCTCTGAGCAGATTCAGACTTTTTTTGTACAAAGACTGTACCAGAAAAACCTTTCACTGCAAATTTCTCTCGCTCCCGGCAACAAGCACTAACCTATACAAAAATATATGACACGGCAGCAATGACGTGCAACAACAGGAGGCAGGTGGGTGGCAGTAGGTGTGTTTCAGGACGATTGTGGGCTGACTGTGGTACAGTATGTCCGCGTGGATGAAGAAATGACTTAATGGAGACATTTATTTGAACAGCCGACATCCGCGGGGCACATCCCCTACTGATTTACACACGAGAGAGAGGACAATGAGCAAACAAATGCTGGCTATAGAGAGCATCGTTATGCTGCTGCATTACATCATTAGGGGCTAAGTTGGCCATTAAAGGGAACAGGCATGAAGCCTCACGCTGACAACAAATCCATAAATATCATAAGGAGATGACCGGCTTCACAGAGGCTGAATGGTAAAACCCTCTGTGGTACACTAACAGCTACACAAGCACATAGCATGCAGAATCAGTCAGCAGCTCTCACTGTGATCAGAATGACATAAAGCACACGGTCTGATGGGAAAAAAAAGCCTCGGCTCATACAGCAGCTGACATTCAGATATCAAATATAATCCTCATACAAACCTGACATTTGAATAGTCCCCTGTCCCATATCGACAGTCACATGTGACATTCCTCATGCTGCATACTCCATTTCTCCATTCTCCTCATGTCCGGGTAACAATAATGAAATAAATTAGCAAGGTAAAGTCCCATCAGTCATGAAGCTGCTGGCTGACTGGGTGTACATTAGAAGATCTATTGATGCGAGCTAGTCACCAGAGAAAATACCCAACCGTGACGTGCGGACCCAGGCACAAAAATAGCAAAGGGGCCCTGGGAGGGATTACACAACAGCCCACGTTTAAGGACGCTTTTCCTCTCTCTCACTGTGTTTCAAAGCACAGCAGCAGCAGCTGCCTCACACTACACACAAAGTGGGGAGTTGCATATCATGATGCAAAGAGCTAAACATCACCTTTCTAGATGGCTGCAGTCCATTCATCCCCACATTCAGTCGTGTATTTTAGCCTGGAATTGTGTGATCCGGGGCGAAGACACAAATTCATTCAGGTACACATGTTCATCAAGTATTATTATCTGTATAAATCTGTTGGACAGAGTGTGTGAATATATGCAGAGCAGAGGAGAAATGCAAAAGTGACGAGCGCTTTGAAAGACACTAATCACATGGTGCAGCAGCTCTGAATGTACATTTCCTACAGCGTGATCCTATTCAGTGTGTATACTGAGAGGAACTCAATGAAAAGACAGCGTGTGTCTGGCTGTGAGGATGCTGCAAAAATTAGACATGTTCTCCAAATTCTGAGACACCCACAGCCTGTTCAGAGCCAGTTCTTCCCGTCACGACAGGATTTGCTTTGTGAATGGAGAGAGTCGTGATGAGGGTGTCATTAACACAGCAAAAAAAAAAAAAAAAAAAAAAAAAAAAAAACTAGGACAATACTGCAGATTATGTGCAGCTGCAAACCTCATCCTGTGAATCAGATGTATGAGTTCAGTGTGACATGGTGCCATTACAGCCTCTACATTAAGGCAACAAGTTTGGGAAATCTAAACACTTCCCCCGAACAAGATTTCACCCAAAGAAAATAGTGTTGACACTATTTTTACAAGCGGACTATATTGTCATGTTTTGTATTTACAACAGGAAATTCATCTTGGGTAAATTGATACGTTTTATTATCAAATTTTTAAATTTTCTTTATTCAATATTTACCACTATTTTTTTTCCATACTGTGCTGTATGTAGCAGGACACCTAGAAAGTGATGCTTTCTAATCAACAAGTTTTCACTGATTTCTGTGGACAGACGTCAAAGTCAAAAGAACCTGGACCTGCTAAACTAAAGATCACAAATAAATAACATGTAACAAACAAATAACTAAATACATACAATTCTGTGCACTATTTTGAGTTGCATTTACTTTAGTTGAGTATTCTTATATTTTGTTGCTTTGTACTTGTACTGCAGTACACTTCAGAGAGAAATATCACAATTATTTCATTCATTCATTTCATTTATTTGACGGGCTGCCACGACCCGATAGCAGACTGCACAAAGTTGTTAAAATAAGCTCCACTTCGACCATCTCCAACATTCAATTGTGGCTTATAAATTAAAGTGGGACCATGTTACTTTAGCTGAACTCCTGTCACTGTGGCAACAAGTTACAATTACAGGATAATGGTAAATATTGAAATGCAGTAAAACAGTCGTGCAATTAGAAAAGAGTCATTAAAATCAGCAAACTGACTAATAATAATACAATATCATTCCACTCTTGGGAATTATTTTAATGAGAATCCTATAAGTCAAGGATGTAAGCACTTCTTCCACCACTGCTACTCTGAGTAGTTTTGCCTAAATATTCTATTTTAGTACAATTTTGAGCCACATTGACTATTTCCATTGGCATTTTGTATTACTTTGTACTTTTTCCTCTACTACATGTATCTGATTGCTGCGATTACTTTGCAGAGACAGATTTTATTTTAACATCTGGAGCTTAGACTGCTCTTGATTAAACCTCATTAACAGTCTGCCGTGGCACCACCTGGACTGGCCACAGGTAGAACACATGACAGACCATTGTATTTTACATGAATTAAAAGTGATGACTGGATACCTGCCAAAGCAGCTGATACACCGTCTTGCCAAAATCCATTTCCATTATTATTTGCCTGGTCTTATTTTGTATCCCTCAACACAACAACCAAAGCTTTTCCCCTGATTTCAAATGTGATTTATCATCACTCAGTGTCATTTGTGTGAAACTTTGGCCTTTGAACCCAATATAGTTTACACAACTATAAATACTTCACCCGCTTTGACCATCCTCCTCAGTTTCCCTCTGTGCCATTGGGTGAGAACAACTGGGTGCCTCTATGAATAGGAGTCCTTGGCTTTGGGCTTGCACCAGCTGTGCTTACTATGGTTAAGGCATATTTAACAGCGGTCTTACTCCTGACATAAAGCTTACACAGCAGAACAAAGGCTTTAAACTTAATGTAACGACTTATAGTTGAACTTCACCTCTGAGCTCAAAATCCTACCCAAATGGCAAGCCTTTATTCCTGCACAGCAAAACTGTAATTTCACAGTGCATTTCCTTTGGAAAACTGCATCTTGCTGTGTGCCAAAAAAGCAGTGAATGCAGAGGCTGTGTATTGACAGAGTCCCTCCACAGTATGGAATTGCAGAGAGCTATTATTAGATATAGCCTCTAACAAGCCGAAGATGAAGTTGAAGCTAACTAACTGCACTGCAGCTGAGATCCATTATGCTGGATTCAGTATCTAGAGGAGCAGCACTAAAATGGCTGATACTCAATGTGCAGTGAAGGTCAAGTCGCCCGTCTCTATAAATATAATGGTCTGTCCCCCAGGATGTTCCACACTGCTTGGCATTTCCACAATCTAAAGCTACACCGCAGCTCTGCTGACCGGCTCAAATCTGCCACAAATTTGCATGTGATTGAATGCCACACATGCACCCGACTACTAGCAGGCCTCTAATGATATTATTAGTGGTAAAACAGATGGGAGGGGAAAGAGAAAGAGGGAACAACAGACAGAGGGAGAGAGGGAGGGGGGGGGGGGTTTATGAATGGAAGGAATGAGGTTTTCCTCCCTGCTGGCTGTAGTGGCTGTCATATGGCTGACTGAGATATCACTTACAGGGGACACTGAACACTGTAGTTTGAACTAACATCTGATACGAACACCAGTGAATACTGTAGAAACCCTAAATCCCCCCTGCCAGCCTCCACTTCACTCTCACTTGATGCATCATTAATTAATTCAAAAAAACTCACCAGATTCACTCGTCCATCAATTAACCCTCGTCTCATTTATCCATCTCTTTAAGTCAGCCTCTCAAACCAGGCGTACTTATGCCATTATCACAGCAGTACCTGAAAATAAACTGACATGATTGTGTGTTTCCATGGCAACCATGCCAACGTCTGTAACAGTTTCCCAGTTCCTGTCTACATATATAATTACTATCGCTGATCACAGCACCAAGACTGCAGAAATGAGCGGAGAAAATGGGCTTCAGCCACATCGACCATACAGTGTCACGGTGTTATACTTCTGCTAATACACATTAAAATAGAGCCACTTACAGAGTGAATTAGCATAAAATATATCAAAAGAAAAGGGTCTGTGACATAAAATACTACCTTCATTTAGGTCCAGGCGCTTTGACCATATTTCTCCCATATGCACATAGTATATCACAATGTGACATTTTCATGCAAATTCAATACAGTGCACTCTGATGAACTCCTACAAGACTAGCTGAAAGGATTAGTCAATTAATCGAAAAGCCAGTGGAGAGTAAATTAATCAACAACAGTTTTGATAATCAATTAATTGTTTAAGTAATTTTTTAAGCAAAAATGCAAAAAAAAAAAAATCCACTCATTCCAGCTCATCAAGTGAATATTTGTTGCGTTTCTCCGTCTTCTATTGTAGTAAACTCAATATTTTTGGGTTGTTCAAACAGAACTCTTGCCTCTGGGAAGATTGGATGAGCATATTCCACTATTTTTCTCACATTTCATAGACGACCAAACAGTTAATCAAGAAAATAAAAGATTCATTTGTTAATATTCTATGATATCAAACACTATGTTTAATTTGATTGGACAAAAATTGCAGTTTGACCAGTTGAACACTGGATCTGGGAGATTGTGATGATCCCATTTTTTCTATTTTATGATATTCTATGGACAATTAATAACGAAAGAAAGTTAGGTTAATATGTAACTAAAACAATTCATTGCTAGATTAGACAAAAGTCTTCACTTTTTGTTTGCTGTAAACTGCAAATTCCGTGTTGATATCACATCCTCATGGTACAACTCCACTTAAAGTCAGTATATAACACCGTAACCAGCCCTGCCATCATATGTTAAAGTTTTAACATGTTATTACATCCCAGCTTTAAGCCTCAGTTGCCTCCTCTGGTGCATTTTACAAACATTGACTGAATATGGAACAAATGGAGGATAATTGTTCAAAATGTGTTTAAAAAAAAAAAAAAAAAAAATCCTACTTCCACTGAAAGCTGGCAGCTCTACTGCATGTCCAATCCGCTGTGCATTTGTCCACACATGATCTGCATCCTCTCATCTGTTTTTGTTGTTGTTGTTTAGGGGATCAGCTGCCATGCGCTGGGGATAGCCTGCTGAAGGGGGGGAAATGCACGGACGTGAGAACCCCTTGCAAACCCCCCATCTGCACGTCATGGAACATTTGCAGAACAGGGACCTCCCACCTTAAAGGCGTGCAACAGAGAGCAGACACAACAGTGAGATCTGCCCTGCACTGAACTCACCATCTCAGGTGACAAATACACCTACAGCTGTTGTGGACCGACCGATGAAAAGGCACACAATGACGGATTAAAAGCACGATATGGCCGCGGTGTGAAGCAGCAGCAGCAGCAGCAGTAGTAGCAGCAGTAGTAGTAGCAGCAGCAGCGGGGAGCAGAGGCTTACCGGTCACTGTGCAACATGCAGATGACTTCAGACTTCCGGTATTGTTTAGATGCATAAGCGGGAATATAGCTTTCCGGGATCGTCTGTGCACAGCAGGGGTGCAGAGATCCGTCAGCTTGCTTTAAAATGACCCTGCACGGCTGCGGTGCTATTACAGATGTGAGCAGCAAGGGGCGCTGGAGGGACGAATTACCTGAGATAATCCAGGCCTGAGCAAGAGTGCAAAGGTTAACCTGATACAATCAGAAATAATAAGACAACATGACTTCCTTTAAGGTCACACATGAGCCCAGCAGACATTCTCTTTTTGCGTGTGTGTCATAAAAATGATGTTTGAAAGCTTCATTGATTTTATTGAAACATTCCTTCATACATAAAACAAACACTACCACATTCGTCAGTGCTTCATAAAATCACATAAAACATGTAAACATAATCACAGAAGCGCAGAAACACTCATACCTGAAAGCATGTTGTCATATTTCATAATGTATAAAGGTCACATTTGTCACTTTACCCTGTAGATCAATGCTTATTAGGGCAATGACAAGGTTGTAAAAATTACTTTTAGGTCCCAAAGTTAAAAAAACAAACTCCCTTGATCATAAAAGTTACTCAAAAACAATGATTATGTTTATTCTTTATTTCGCTACGAGTATTTTATAAAAAAAAAAACATTTTAAAACTGTAAAACATACATACAGTGCTCATTACAAACAGTACAGTGCACAGATTTGTTTTCCCCTTAACCTCAGGTTTTCACCCATTTCAGGACATACATTTCATTCTTGTTACAGGTTGTATTCAGTGATTCAAAGATAAAACTCAAAGATTCCTTCTCTCGGCCTGAAGCTCCGTCTGTTCCTCTTCAAGTGAACTGGTTTTCCTTTAAGTGGCACCTGTCAGCCTCAGTGTCCAGGCCCACTGGCATGGCATCTGGCTGAAGGACAGCTGGGGCAGGAGAACCCGCAGTCCGCTCGGCTTTACAGGCTCCCACCGCAGAGACCCGTGACCGAGAAGCACCACCTTTTTTAGAACAGAGAGGCAACACATGAACGAGTTGACATGTTGACAGAAAGGGAGAGCTGCTCTGTGAACAACCAGTCAACCTCATTTCCCAAAGATGGAGTGCGGTCATTGGACACTGGAGCAGGGTTAGACCAGTTTGCCAATGTATTGAGCCTTTAATCAAATATTGGCCAGTAATTTCTTTCACCACTAATATGATGGAGACTCCTCCTTGACTGCAAATATATCTTTGGTATTTCTGTACTGGAATTCCCTGGTTCTGAAAAGTTGCCATATACACAAATACCAATATATCTGCAATATATATTATATATAAGCCTGATATATTTACTGGCCTTGCTCCAGTCTTACCTGAGCCAGTCCTTGTGTAACCACAGGTTCATGCAGAATCACAGATCCATTATTGGGCCACTCCAGTAAAGTGGCAAAGACGACTTTTTGCTGTGGTCTGGAGGTGTACCTGTCGAATGTTAAGACCATTAATGAAGTTTCAAAAAATAAAATATACTAAAATTATATATCAATATAGGCTATATCCTTTTCTGAGCTTAAAAATAATAATAATATCAATATCTGATCTTATAAGACTTTATTTTGACACTAGGATGAGGAGGACATTAAATCCCAAATATCTAAGACCTAGTTCTGTTGTTGTTCTTCATTTGTTAGTGAAAGCCAACACATATAAATGAATAACATACCTGTATCATCAATACAATCACTTATTTATTACACATACATTCACAAAATATTTGTTTCACAATGCATGAATTTAACTAAGCAACTGAGTGATGTAAAAGACGCCACTTGTTGAAATGTGCAATTATTTAGATACATGCATCCAAAGTGTTCGTTACTACAAACCATATAACATAATGTACGAACAAATGAGACCCCACCAGACATTTGGAGTGACGCTGTCGTTCTGAGCCCGCCATGCTGTCGTGTTGTAGATGGCGTCCCCGTTCACCTTCAGCCACTGACCCATCTGCCTCAGACGCTCCTCAAAGATCGGAGCGATTCGTCCGTCGTGTGTCGGACCAATGTTCATCAGCAGGTTTCCCCCACAGGACACGGTCTCCACTAATGTCTGAAACACACACACACAGACACACACCACAGTTAAACGTAAGTTAAAAGCATACAAATACATATGGTGTACATTAAGTGACACCAGGTTGGATTTTAAAGGAAAACTTTATTGCTTTACTGCACAAAGATTGGAGGCTGCCCCAGAATAAAGCTGAAACTACTAGTTGATTAAAGAATTATTCCATTGACAGAAAATTAATGGGTCACTATTTTCTTTGTCAAGTAATCATTTCAGTAATTTTGTAACTCAAAATGCCAAAAATGTCCCGTCACCAGCTTCTCAAATGTGAATATTTGCTGGTTTTCTTAGTCTTTCATAATAGTAAACTGAATATCTTTAGGTTTGTTGTTCATACAAAACACAACATACATATGTTAACTTGGCTCTGGGAAATTCTGATGAACATTTTCCACTATTTTCTGACAATTGATTAATTGAAAATTAAAGAAGAAAATAAAATGCTGGTGGAAGAGGACAAAATATTGTTTATGTTCTTAAGGTGAAATAGGAACAAATTTTAAAAAGTTTAATGTGGAAATGTGTTTTTTATTTTTAAGAAAACCTAGAACCACTTCTGGAAATTTGATCTCAACCAGTGTCTGCCTCAACTGTTTGATCAGTCTACAAAAACAATCTCAACTCAAGGCGCAACTGTTTCTCACTCGTTCTGGAGCTTTCAACCAACTGCTGCCTGTTTCCAAAGTCAAGAATGAACTGTGAAGCTCAGCTTTTAAGCCACAATGGATGAGAAGTCCGGGAGATGCTGAGAATAATGGAAAGTTTTAACATGACTAAATCCATCTGCTGATGAAGACCATGTGATGGAGTGAAGCTCCAGAACAAGTGAGTAAGTGGACCTTGAGTTCTTGTTTTATCCACCAATGTCTGTCTCAATTATTTAGTAGTTATCGTACTTTAAGGTCATTACCACTAATTTGAGAAATAATATTCTTAAAAAAAAAAAATAGCATATGTTACATTTGGCAGAGTAAACAATCCTTCCTTTAAGCTACACACTGAATGCTTTTGTTTGGACAGAACAGATTGGTTACGTGATAAAACATTTTAAAGGTTAATGAGATTTTCAACTCTCACCGCCACAAGCCGCTCTATGGTGAGGTAGTCACTGAGCGGAGCATTACGTCTGTAACCCCAGGACTTTGTGTCAATGGTCATGCAGTTTTCCCATTTGTGTTTGAGCAGGTGTCCTGGCTGGTAGCGATCTGCACAGGTGTAATATCCACCGTGGGTGCAGATGGAGCCAGAACCCCACCGATCATTCGTCACCACTGTCTCTCGCACTGGACTATGGAAGACGAAAACACATTTAACCGAGTTCGGTTTTTATCTATGGGGAAAAAGAAAGTGAGTAACATGCAAATTCTTTCCATTACCTGTCATTATAAAGCCAGGCTAAGAAACCTGTGCTATTCCAGTATTTGTCAGGTGCGTCTCCATCCCCATCAGACCACAGCACCTCTGGTTTGTACTTGACGATGAGCTCATAAAGCTCGGGCAGTGTTTTACTGGTAGGAAAGTAGTTTGTGGTGAAAACATTGGCAGCGTCCTGTTCAAATAGTGGATTAAACCACTCAAAGAGGGAATGGTACAGCCCTAAACGTAGGTCACTGTTAGCACGCAGGGCACTCGCCACTTCCTCCACCAGGTCTCTTTTGGGTCCAACATCCATTGCATTCCAGTTCCAGGAGTTTTTTGAGCCCCATAGTGTGAAACCTGAAAAATATAAAAATATATATCCCGTGTGGCTGAAAGGATGGTACTAATACTCCAAGTATGTGGAATCATGCCCTTGTTTTAACTACTAACTAACCTGTCCTTAAACCAAATATACTGAATGACAGGAAGTCGATCAAGTACTGTACCTTCATGGTGTTTTGTAGTCAGGACGATGTACTTTGCTCCAGATGAGGCGAAGATGTCTGTCCATTCTTTGGCATCAAAGAACTCAGCAGTGAACTGTGGAGCAAAGTCTTGATACTTGAAATCTGGAGAATAATTCCTCTTCATAAAATCAACATACGGCTTCAGTTTTAGCTTCTGCCAGTACCACCTGGAACAGAAAATAAAAAGCAGAAAAGGATAAAGGAATCTCAGCCTCTTAATGAAGGTGAGCAGTTTTGCTCTATGATCTGACTAATACATGTATATTTCCTGTATGTCAAATAATAGTTGGTCGTTGATGGAAAGTGAAATATTTTTTTGAATTACAAATACAAAAGTTTTGATAAAATAAAACAAAATTACATTACTATTAAATACTATTATGACTGTAGTTACCCGTATAACACCAGCAGGGCTCACCTCAGTTGTAGCTAATATGTATAAGTAATATAAGTAGTAAGTAAGTAAGTGATTGCTAGAAAAGGGGAATGAAACTCACCAGAACCACTCGCTGCCGAAGCTCGGGACAGAAAACACACCCCAGTGTATGAAGATCCCGAATTTGGCCTGATCGTACCACTCAGGTAGAGGTCTGGAGTCGATCGATTTCCAGTTCGGTTCGTATTTGGTTTCGCTAGTGCCGATCAACAGCATCGATAAAAGCAAAAAAGCGACCGTTAAACCTCCCATTTCAGGTCGAAGCACTTGCCGTGACAGAATGATGAGGATGTTATGTGTCACATGACAAAGCATAGAACTCACGGTAAAAAAAAAAATCGAAAAAAATCACATGATTAAGCGCAACTGGAATAACGAGAGGACAAGGAAGAGAAGTCAACTGAAGATAATGTTATGAATATCCGTGATCCGTGAAGAGACAGTTTCACGTGGGACCGCTAGAGACGTTCGATTTGTTGTCCGTTGACTCACCGTAGAGTTTCAACCAATCAGCTCCAAGCGAACACCGCTTTCCCGGGCAACGCTGCATTCTATATCTCGCGCGTCGAAAATTTACGCATGCGCCGTCCGTTCCTCTTTCAGGAAAAGGGTAATGTTTTGGTTCTGAGGCGACATTGTCCACATGCATGGCTACGTTGACTGTCACTGTCATATCTCTGCGGGGGATTTTGACAAGGTATGGGCATTTTAAGAGGATACAAGTAAATGTTTTACCTGTTAAATATCTCACGAGGCGTTAACTTTTCCTCTTGTCGTTGTCAGGACATAGAGGAGGTGGTTGAGAATTCAAAAAAGGTGAGCCATCTCAGCTAAGAAACACTATTCACAATAGTTACTAGTGTGTGTGTGTGTGTGTGTGTGTGTGTGTGTGTGTGTGTGTGTGTAAAGCTAATTTCTTAGCTTTTCCCCGCAGGCTGGATTGTTGGCGCTGTTAGCCGTCGCAGAGCATGCTGGGGAATTTGACAAGATTATTGCGTTGTCAGAAAGGTAACTGCAGTATAATTAACAAGACTGATCAGATCTCACTGACTGTGTGTACTGACCTTTTTACTTCTTCTTAGGTTTCCAGGTTTTATTTTCCCCTGCTTAGGAGTCCACCCTGTTCAAGAAGTTTCCCCAGAGCAGCAGAGAGGTGCTTCTCTCCAGGTAGGATCAATTTCAAAGGGTCCAAATTACATATAAAACACATTTTCCCACTTACCTGTAGATATCTAACCAGGCAGGTGGTTTTTTTTTGTTGTATCTGGATCCATCAGATTTCTCTGTTGTTTCTTACTAAAGGATGGATGGTGTCATATGTTGGACAAATTGTAAAGCTCTTTTAGGCAAATTTGTTACAAATGATTTTGATCAAATCAAATGTACTTGTCTAGAATAGTTTTTGAGTGCTCACAGCTTTGGAAACATTAACACTTCTCTTCAGGAACAAAGCCCTCACTACTCTGGATAATCCACAGAACAATTTGTCAAGACTTAAAGACTGAAGCTTTTATTTGAACTTGTGCTAATTATCTAGAGTAACAGGGACATTGTTTCTAGAAAGCCATGTTGCTAATGATTGTTCAGTCTAATTTTTCAATGCTGTGAGCACCACACAAGTCTATTCACCTGCATTGTAATTGGAACGGGACGTAAATCTCAGTGACTGATATATCAAAACATGGGATAATAAAATTACAGCTATATATCTGTCTCAGTAAAACTAGAGGTCACTAAGACAATTTTTGTTTTCGGGTTAATTTACCCTTTAAAAGGACAACACTACAATTCATTGGATCATTTATGTTTTCTGCAGCTGTGTTACTGTAGAGGAATTAAATACGTTTTTCTCTCTTTTATGCAGGATCTCGATGCAGCTTTACCCATCATAGAGAAATACAAAGACCACCTAGTTGCTATTGGGGAGGTAAAGTTTCAGTATCTCTGTTGTGACTTGAAAATCAGTTTTCTGTCGTGACTTTATTTATTTTGCATTCATGTTACAGTTCATTCTTTTCCACATTTTCTTTTTGTTGTAGGTCGGTTTGGATTTTACACCCAGATATGTCAGCAATGACACTGATAAGGAGAGCCAAAGGCAGGTCCTCATTCGTCAAGCACAGATAGCCAAGGAGCTGGATCTCCCTCTGTGAGTCATACATGATGTCAAGTTAGTGGGTAACACCTGAATTTAAGAAAATATAAGAAAAACCGCTGCTTCTAAAATAATATTCTGATATTGTGTAGGGACGCTGTCTTGCAAATGAAGTTGGATAATGGCATTTTTCCAGTGTTCACAGGCAGATTAAGCAGAGTGTGTAAATAAATGTGTCCATAATAATGAAATACTCAAAGGCAATGCAATGCAATCTTTTTTAAATAAGTGTCATGCTATCTGCTATCTAAGTTATCTGTTGCAGACCTTCATAATATGTGTTATTTCTATGATTTATTTCTAGAAATGTCCATTCACGGTCTGCAGGAAGACCTACGATCAACCTCCTCAAAGAGCAAGGTAAACAGTTCGAGTTCAGGTTCTCAGTTTACCTGTGGATGAATCGTTCATTTGAATATTAGAGAAGTAAACTGCAGTTCCTCTGAAATGTCACTAGGTGTCGAAAAAGTTCTGCTTCATGCTTTCGATGGGAAACCGTCTGTTGCCATGGAGGGAGTGAAGGCTGGATATTTCTTTTCTATCCCACCATCCATAATACGGAGTGAACAGGTACAGCAGAGAAGCTGATCATGTCAAATTTACACTGTATCTACATCTTACTTGCTTAAAAATCTCCCTTCAGAAACACAACACATACACTCTTACACCCATATATTCCTATTTGTCATTTATGTGTAAACATACTGAAATGTTTTACTGTTATAATTACAATTTACTTGAATATCCTTGTTGTTTGTATGTGAACATTTACAGATGACACAACTAAACTGCTGTCAGTCTCTTTAGACAGCATTGACATGTTGACTTTATTTTCATTGGTTGATTTTATCACATTAAATGTTAATGATTGATGATGGTTTCTTTGTGTATTTTCCACCAAGAAGCAGAAACTTGTGAAACAGTTACCATTAGAGAACATCTGCCTGGAAACCGATTCTCCTGCTCTGGGTCCAGAAAAGCAGGTAAGATATTTTTTTCAACCCTGATTAAAACAAATATGTTGAAATCCAAACCCAGTATATTTTCCTGTAGTCAGGGGATATTATTTCTATTTTCTTGAAATCAGCTATTTAAGTTCTGAACAGCGTATTCTTATATTTTAATGAGGATGTTTGTAAAATGTCCCTACCTTTCCTTCGACGTTCATATTTTGATACAAACAAAAAAACTTTATATTTTACAAAGGTTACTGTCTTCGAGTTTTATTTATCCTTGTTTTGTGTCCTGATTGCAGGTGAGAAATGAGCCAAAAAACATCTGTATCTCTGCTGAGTACATCAGTAAGATCAAAGGAGTGTCGCTGGAGAAGGTGATGGAGGTGACGACGCAGAACGCTCTCCGACTCTTCCCGAAGCTAAAGTCGGCCATCAGACCCTGACGCAGCTTTAAAGGTTTATTTCATCAGTCTAGAATATCTTGTATTGTAAACCCACAGCTTTCTGTTACCATTGTAATCTTTTTAAGTATTTAATGAGGACCTCTGATCAAACCAAGATGGCCTGAAGTGCAAATAAATCAAAAAACAGAAGGTCAGTTCAGGTGAAAGCCATTTATTTATCTCCAATCTTGATGGATTCTTGATATTCTTAAATAAATGGAGATGAGATAACAATCTAACACACAAGTTGTAAATTTTTCATGCATGTGATATATCTGATTCACCCAGCAATTCATAAACACCCTGTCATGTAACAAATACAGCAGCTTACTGATAGCAGTCATGGTCACACATACTGTAACTCATTTAAACATTCATGTCATTGTAAAGTGAGTAATCATGACATGCCACTGTTTTCATTTCTATATTGCCCATCATCTGATCTAAGCAGAGCAGTGATATCATTAAGTTAGTAATTTCCCTGGTCACTTGCTCTGTTTATTTCCGATGTTGTTGCTTTTTATAATTAAAAGCTGATTCATCAGTCACTCAACATGAGCTGCTGAAGCCAAACTCTAATGGGCCCGCATCAGTCACAGTTGTATGAGATATTGCTGCTTTCAAGTGCTCCTCTTTAGCTCCTATCTTTGAGTTCTGAAGTTGTAACTCATTCATGAAATTGTTTGATAGAGTTTCACCCCTCAGTTGGATATGCAGAACGCATCTCGCTGCCTTTAAAAGCTGCTCACAAATTCATGAATGGGCAACTTTATTGAACACTGTCCCACCAACTTTATAAACTTTTAAAATATACAGTAGCTGTATTGCTCTCAAAATCCTCAGCAGTGTGAAGAAACAAAGCAGAAGTAGGAGCAGTGATTCATGGACCTAAAGTAAGTATATTTAATCATTTTCCAGGAACCTGAATCTTATTCAAGTGCTCTCATTTGGCAGTTTATTAGATACACAGAGCAAAAACTAATGCAGTCTAGTAAAACAGTCCTGCAATAAATCCTAACATCAAGAAGGTTATAATGGTCACTTTTTGTTGAAGCTGTTGATTCAACTATGTGGTTAATTTGGAAGATGTAGTTTGTGGTGCTGTTGAACTGTCCTGTGTTTTACTGGCCACCCAGTTTATATCAATGAGGGCAGGCTAAGTAACAGAAATACGAAAATTTATTTTTGTTTTTGTGCTAAAAATAGATAAAATAAACTGGCAACTTTAATGTTGCTACATTTTGAAAATAAAATGAACTAGTTTTATTTTATCCCAAATTCGAGATAAGAATATAAAGATTAAAAAATGTGGTTTGTCTCATAATTCCTAATAATCTTTAAATTCCAGATCATTTAAATTGTTTATATCGCTATATCTTTGCAGTTTTGAGTTAAATTTAATCTGTATTAAATAACAACTTTGACAACTTTTACGTTTGTTACTTACCTAAAACTTCTAACTTTTAAGTAGTATTGTAACGGATGAGTTTGACTTTGACTTATGTCATTGTCCTCCATAATATTATTTTTATTTCATTGCGAATTCTAATGACAATTCAAGTGAACTAATATGCGCTCTCTGAAAAATCCGGGCTGCGGGTCGCTCGTGAACGCAGCTTATGTCCAGTTGACGGACCGCCCTGAGGGGCCACGTCAGCCGTGACACACGCGCTCTGAGCAGCGACTGACACTCCGTCCGGCCATTGCGAAGGTTTGTTGATAGTCGGGCCCAGCGGCTGAACTTTGCCTCATTGGCCCGTGTTTGTTAAACTCCCCCCCTCCCTCCTCCCCGGGGTCGCGTCGGGGGAAATTTGCATGTCCTTCAGCGTGTCGCCCGCTTCGCCGCCGCCGCGCTGCAGTTGAGGTGTTTACAAGAAACTGTGTCAAGTCAGATCAAGGTGAACGTGCTGCAGTTGGACAATGCTCAGTGCACGCTCACGGAGCTGAGAGGACATCCATCGGTGAGTAGAAGTTAGATTTCCCTAGCTGTCACTTTTATTCATTTCATTGAGTCAAATTAGTCACAAAATAATGAAACTCATATTTCATTGTCTCAGGTTTGTTTTAAAAAACTTTTCAGTGTGCATGTTTTTGCCTTTCTGCTCACTTATCACACAGCCAGCCAAGTTAATATTACACTTTTATCAGTGTTTGATTAGGTTGTTTTGCTCAGGCATGTTATGGATGTGCAGTCTTGCTTTATCCCAAAAGCATGGGAACATAAGCTGATGGTCAAACTGCTCCACTTCACTCATCAAACTCCTCCCCTCTCACTCATCACACCGCAGAACCTAAAAACAACCTGCTGCGCTGAGACTTGCTGTTATTTCTGGCTCTGCAGGTCTGAATAGGACAACATCATGACAGGTGACACAGTGGTCTGGAGGGGTCTGACCTGGGTGAAGCAGGCGGCCAGCAGAGCCACACCAGGCGGCCTGCCCAGCACCGCGAACCAGAGGCTGATCAACTTCCATCATGCCGCCGGATCAGCAAGGGTGAGCAGTCAGCCGTGATTTGTCTGTCATGCTGCTGCAGACTGGGATAGGGTTTCACAAACATGCAACCCAGATACCTTCTCTGGCTGTTTCTGCCACCGTCACCTCATCAACACCACAACAATAGTGAGCGGCTTTATGAGGCTGATGATGCTGGAATAGAAAGTACAGGGAGTGGAGCTCAGCTGTAAAGGATTCAGCTGGTGTGGGGTGTCTTTGGACTGTAGTTTTTTACTGCCAGAAAACTGCTAAAAATGACAAAATGTGTAGTTTTTTTCCCCCCAGATTTTGTTCTTTGCTGTGAGGTAACGGCTTGTGAACCCTTGACACACCTTTCATAATTTCCTCTAGAAACTTGCTTGTTCTGAAATCTGATTTGTTTCATTTGAATCATTTATAGTCGGCTGAAAAGGTTAAAACTGTTATATACTATATTATATACTACTAATATCTCACTGAAAAGCAAAGATTCAGGTTTGGGTAGTAGACGCCTCAGATTAATCTTGTGACCACTGATTTAAATGAACATACGGCACTAAAATGCAACTAAAATCACAAATTGTCACTTAAACAGCATCTTTAGACAAGTTGCTCCTGACAATGTCGACTTAAATCAACTCGCTCCTTCATCATATCAGAGGTTGAAGATCCTGACGGTCTCTGGGATTAGTTGATCATTACAGGAAAGATTTTTAAATCCCTAATTCTGCGTAGTGTCCTGGTCAGTATGAACCGGACCTGGAAACAGTAGGAAACTACATGATGAATGAATGAATGAATGAATGAATCTTGTTTCGTTCATCCAGGAGACGTTCAACAAACAGCAGGAGGTCTGCGTCCACAGAGCCACAGCCACAGCGCTTCACAGATACTCAACCATGGGAGCTTGTTTCAGCACCTGTTTCATTGGAAGTGTAAATGGAGGACAGGGGACCTGCAGTGGCAGACCCAGCACTAAACATCTGAAACACCACAGGGACTGGTCAAGTCAGCTGCTGTCTGGACATACGAGGTTATTTAACCAGGACAACTCCACGGTGGGGCGGCTGACATCGGAGGACATCGATAAAGCAAGAAACACCAAGAAAACAGACATAAAGCAGCATAAGCAAGTGGTATCCGCTCTAACCCATCTGTTTGTTATTTTACTCCTTATTTCAGTGCTGTGGTTCTCGCTGCAGTGTCACACGGGAGCATCTGTTATCCTTCAAATGTGTTTTTTTTCTTTTATTTCAGCTCAGTGAAAGAGCCAGAGAGAGGAAGGTGCCGGTCACACGGTTAGGAAGGCTGGTGAATTTTGGAGGTGCGTGTGTTTACTCGTTTACTGCTCATGATCACGGCCAAAGAAAAGTCACATTAATATTACCATCGTCCTCGTCGCCATGAAGGTTTCAATTCAGTTTCCAAATCTCCAGACCAGAAAAACTGCAGGAAATGCAAATATTTAGAGCTACTGCCAGTGTGCCCTTCAGCAAGACGTCTGACCCTCAGTTGTCCCGGTGCCAGGCCTGTGTAACCAGTGTTAGGTTACTGGGCAGCTGCCAGGTGCAGGCGAAAGCGTGATCATGATGAATGTGAAGCACACGTGCAAGCTCAGCAAAAAATGAAGGAATGTTGTTTTCATCAATCACTGGCAGGTGGATCAAAGTGTAGGATTTTTGATTTCTTATACTTTCATACAGTTTTTAGAGCAGATTTTAGTTTTGCTTTTACGTTTTTTTTTTTTTTTCTTAAATCTTTTTTTGTTGTAAACATTTTGCCAATGTTCAGTTTTACCCACCACAACACTTTGACTAATGTGTCGAAATAATTTACTTCCTCATAAAACATTTGAGAAGCAGATTTTTTTCAAAATTTTGAAACCTGCATGGTTTACACCCATGTTACCATGGCACCCATGTTAACCTGCATGTACTGATCTAACAGTGAGTAGATCGATTGAAAATTAATGTGCAATGATTTTGTTAAAGTCATTTTTTTTAAGCAAAAATGCCAAAAACTATTTGCTTTCAGCTTCTTAAATGACAATATTTCTCTTTTTCTGATTTATAATTCAGTTTATAGATTAAATGACTGATTGAGAATAGGCACTAGATTAATCAATGATAAATATAATCATCATTCTGTGTGTTTCTGAGCTAACCTCATGCTGAGCTGTGTCCAAATGAAACAACCCACATTCTGAATTTGAGGCATTTATCAGCTCAAGATAATTGTAAGAATCCTAAATGGACTCTGGCGTTTTCTTAGCTAACACACAACTGTTTTTGACACGAGTTGTGCAAACAAGTTGTGCAAATGACATTGACAACGCCTGCACTTCCTGCAGGGCAGCGAGGACTCTGCAGGATCTCACCACCGCAGAGTTTATGTAATAAAGTCCGTGCTGCTGAAGACTCAAAAGCCAGAACATTTTCGAACTCGAAGCTCAGCCGCTGTTTATTATAAATGAAGTGTTTGAACATCAAAGTTTAATTTTGGATTGAGTTGAGAGTATTTCGGTCACCAG